AAAAAAAAAAAAAAAAAGTGAGGTTATAAGAATCTGAATCTATACGCAAAGCGTTTAAGTGCTTCTGAGTTAATGATGCCCATCACTTGTTGGCTGTTACAGACTTGAGGAGGAAATCTCTTGTGGATTGGGTGAGCTTAAAAAGCAACAGACAAACACACACAAAGAAACCAGAGCAAACAGAAAGATGTAAACGATCTGGTTCTGTTCCTTTCTTTTCGCAATGAGCAGGACCTAATATGCCTTACGTTACAAGCTACAGAGCTTCAATTAAGCAATTGAATCACTCTGTTCTGGTCATTATGCAGAACGTTTTCCTCTTGCTCCTAGAAGTCGCTGATATTCCATTAGGAGAACTAAATAAAGTCGGTGACTTAGGAGGATCGTGAGGGAACCTGACACGAAAACAACAGACAGCGGAGGTCAGTGTGCATAAAGGGAAGTGACGACAGTCCTTGTCGGCGCGTTTTCAAAAGGCCCATTTTGGGAAGATGGGTAAGATGCTCGTGTCCTTTCCAATGTGTTTTTATCGTGCGTAATGTATCTTAGTAGGCACGTTTGTCGGTCGGGGTAGAGAGATTTCTTGTGCAAAAGATCTGAATCGTAAGATGGAATACCTAGTTAAGTCTTTTTCTGGTTGGCTATAACGCAGTTTTGAAATACAACAGCGCTAACACTATACGCCATTAGCTAAGACTCAGCCGCCCTCGCTTTGGGTCAGAATAGCAAGCAGTTTTAACATCCCCAGTCACGCAGATATGACCCGAGCACAGTCGACCATAGGGCTGCATCGTTTTGAGTGTAAAGGAGTAAGAAGAGAAAAGACATCAAGCCAAGATCAGTCACCGTTTTCCTACCTCTTTGTGCATCCTTTAGCACCAAAATTCCGTGGTAATATTCTGTCCCTTTTCTAGTTCCCCTTAGTTTTCAAGATCATCGCTTTCACCCTATTCAGCCCCAGCTCAGCGCGATACCCTGGGCTCCTTCGTTCTGAAGAGCGCCTCTGTTGCAGTCAAGAAGGCTCCCCAAAGGCTCCTGTGTTCAGAGGCAGAGCTTCTGGAAGGTGATTAGATCATGGGGTACCAACCTCCTTGTGGATCAACCCACCGATGAGCGCATAGCTGACTGTGCTAGGAGGAGGCGGGCCCAGTGGGAGGAGCTAGGTCCCGGGGGGCGTGGCTTCGAAGGGTAATCCTTCCCCGGCCGTTCTCTCTCTCCTCTCCGGCTCACTTGCTACTTTCTCTGTTTCTGGCCACCACGGGTGGAGAGCTCTCCCCTGCCACTCTCTTTCGCTGTGATATTCGTTCCTTGGAGCCAGCCGGCTGTGGACTGACCATCTCTGACACGGTGCTCCAAAACAGACCTTTTCTCCTTGAAGTTATCTAGAATGCACACTCCAGTATACTGAGCAGTGGTGGGCGCTTGGTAAGAGCTGAATAAACACTTTGGGTCTCACTGTCTTTCCTTCCCATTTCACCCTTGATTTCCTTCCCAGCAGTCTTCCTTTTCCACGTCCACGCTAGCATCTCCAGTTTCCCCCAGTCTATTTGGGTGAATTCTGCGATCACCCATCTCAGGGCTGCCCTCCCTAGTACCTCTGGTCTATGACTGGTGCATTTCCATCTGTAGTTACTTTCATTCTCTTGCCTCTAGTTCGGCGTCCCACCCCACTCCGGAGGCAGGCGCTTGTGGAATCCCACAGCATGGAGCCAGCAGTAGTATATACCAAACCCTAGCCCGTTAGATCATGATCTGGGAGAAGAAAATTCAAGGCTGAACGGAAGGTTGGAGCAAAAGGCTCTGTGGCAGGCATAAAAATGTGAGGGAAAAGTACACTTCTACCTTGTTTAAGAAATTATTATTTGCCATATTTTTTCATTTCTAATGTGTGCATGAAGATACAGTGCAGGTATATCTCACTTACATAGCACCTAGTTAGATTCTGGACCTGACTGGACAGTTTGTCCTCTAAAACAGACATTGAACTTATTGATGGGACTATCATAGGTGCAATAGTCTTATGCCTGTCATCTTAGATATTTTTCAACTTATTTCCTTTTATTCTTTGTTTATTTTATCTTTCTAATAACGTTTTTCTAACTTTCCTTCCTTTTCTCCTTATTTTCCAAAATGTCTTGGAAATTAGCTGTAACTTCTTTACGAGGGTTTTAATAACTACAAATTCGCATTTTTCTTCAATGCCTAAAATTAATCACGGCGTGTTCTTTGTGTAGAAAACGAGAATCTTGGCATTTTTCTCCTTCACTTCCTCGTATCCCACCACTTTCTACGTTGCGATTACCTGGGATTTTAGTTCTAAATTGTTACATGTTTAAACATCAATACTTATCTGAACTGAGCTATCCGTTTTACCAGTTTCTCGGCTCAGCTCTTCCTTGTCTGCCCTCCCTTCCGCTCAGTCCCGGGGGCTCTTCTCACCCTTGCTCTAGCGGAATCCCCTTAGGAGCCTGTGAATTGTATGCGGGCTGCTCTTCAGCGATGGGTGGGTGAAGAGTCCCATCCGCAGCTCAGAGAATCAGTCTGTCCCGGAAACTTTGTGAGTGCGGGCTGAGTGCCCTTAAACCCGACTCCTCCCTTTCCCTGCAGCGCTATACTCTAATCAGCCTCCCTGTGCTTCTAGGCGACCCTTGGGTGTTACCAGAACCATGTGATCGTCACTCCCGAGTGGGCATCAGAACTGGCCGGAGCCAAAATGGAACTCAGGGCTCGGACTTCTCCTTTTCCTCCGTCTGCCCGGCCTTCAGCTGCTGAAATGTACCTCCCAGACCCGTACATGTGTAATGAGCGTTCTGTGCACAGTGGAGGAGGTAGAGGGGAGGAGCACCGCTGGGGGTGCAGGTGTGTGCAGGGCATTAACTTGCCAGGTGGGAGAACAAGGTCGTGGGGGTGGGGAGAATCTTCAGGTGTGTTTGCTTAGTCACAATGTGTATGTCAGATGCAAGGCAAGATCATTCCGTAAAGAACATTATCCACTGATTTGTCCTGTCATTTTGTCGTTCGGAGGGAAAAACATCTTACCCCATATGCAGAATATTTTACAGAGTCCTAGATGTGTTCGTCAGTTGACCGTTGGCCTCTGTATTACCCTGACTAAATATCATTCCGCTACTTCAGCACGCAGGATACCACACTGAACGCTTTTCGTCTTTTGTTTTCCAAAATAGGTACTTGGCCCCCACCCCACCCACCTTGGTTGTTATCTGGCAGGCAGCTTATTCTTAACTTGTATATTTAAAAAATCTCTTTAGTTCTGTTCTTATTTCAACTTTCCCTACACCTTTGGCTTGTTGCTTTGTTTCACAAGGTTTGAGAGATCCTTGAATAATCATGTCTTGGGGCTGTTGGGGCTGCTGTAACAAAATACCACCCACGGGGGAGTTATACACCTCAGAAACCTCTCACACTTTGGGAGCCCTGGAAATCCGTGACCAAGTCACCAGTCGAGGGCCAGCTGTTTGGGTCAAAGATGGCATCTTCTAGCTGTGTCCTCACATGGCAGAAAGGAGGCAGCACTCTGGGCCTCTTTTATAAGGGCACAAATCCCATTCACAAGAGTCCATCTTCAAGATCCAATCATCTGCCAAAGGCCCTGCTTCCCAACACCGTCACCCCAGGGATGAAGTTTCAACATAGACATTTTGAGGGGACCCTAACTTTCAGGCCACAGCAACCCCTTTTTGTTTCCCTTTCTCATAAGATGGAGACTCATGGCAGGGACCAACAGCAATGTTGCCACGGGGAAGGTGAGTTAGAATGTTCACTCGGGACCCTGCACCTCACAGGGTGTCCTGCGGTCACCTCGGTGTGGTGGGGACACTGATGAAGTGGGTTCAGCCAGCACTCAATTCTTCCTGCCTACATTTTCCCCCGACTTTTCCTCCCCCACCCGCCTTTCCTCTGGTCTTAGTCCAGCTTGTGCTGTTCTGATGGAGAACCCAGGAGAGGGGACGTTATAAAGAGCAAAACTTTACCTCTCATAGTTCTGGAGGCTGGGAAGTCCGAGAGCAAGGTGATGGCGGCACCTGGTGAGGGCCCCTCTGGTTCCAAAATGACACTTGGAATGCTGCATCCTCTGCAGGGAGGAGGGACACAGTATCCTCACAAGGCAGAAGACGGAAGGGCCGAAGGGACAAATCCACTCCCTAATCCATTCCTCTAATGCCATTTATGACGGTGGATCCCTCAGGGCCTATCAGCTCTTCAGGCTCCACCCGCTACGGCTCTCCTATTGGCCGCACCCCTCCCCGCTCCCCTGGTCCTCTAGGAACCCAGGAGAGGACGCAGACAGTCAGGCCTCCGAAGTAACACGGAGAAATCCTGAGTTTTCCTCACTAGTGATTACCAGGATTCACTTTCATTCCCAGCAAGGGATAGGGAAAAGGAAAGCCAGGTCTGCTGCTTGGAAGGCAGCCATATAAGAGAGGGAGAGGGAGGATGGTGAGAGGGATGCTGTTCCATAGTTACAGGTTCAGGTCTGCAGTGAATAGGCTTCTAGTTGACTGCATTCTCGTCTTTCTGTCTGGTATACTCAGTCTCTGAACTATGTAAAAGATTGAAGCACTTTAAATCGACACTCACATGAGATTTCACTCGGAGTAGGCCTTTATGAATATTCATGTTGGAGTATTTAGCCTCAGGGTATGAAATATTAATCTCTTACCTGAGTTTTACATCTAATTCTTCTTCAATGACACAGAAAAATTAAATGTTACCTGCCACCAGGGGCATCATTAGGATGGGCTTTTTAGATTAAAACTCTGAAAGAAGAACTCATAATCTCTCATATTTTTTTGCTGTCTCCCATCATGCCACAGGCAAAATTGACAAAGCTATGACCACTGTTTTTGTTCAAGAGTGACCTCCTGTCTATGCATATTTGAGAAGCAAGTAATATTAAAGGTCAGTCTCTATTGGAGTATGAGAAGTCCAAGGTATTTGTGTTAGGATTTGTTAAGAAGAGCATCTGTCAGCTGGGTGTGTTGGCACACTCCTGTAATCCCAGCAGTTGGGAGGCTGAGGCAGGAGGATTGCTGTGGGTTCGAGACCAGCCTGGGCTACATAGTGAGTTCCAGGTCAGTCTCAACTACTTAGTGAGACCCTGTCTCAAAAAACAAAAACAAACACAAAACAAAACAAAACAAAACAAAAAAGCAAAACAACAATGACAAAAATAAGCAGAGTCAGTTCTGTTGTTTTGTAGCCTGCTGTATTTCAATCTTTGGAAAGTTCTTGAAATCATTTAAAATATTTGTATAATCTATTACATGTCTGTATTATAATTCATTTAAGGAATTAGATATTTTTGCCACATTGGAAGCTGCATTTTATGTTTCATTTAAAAATTTGTCTTTTGATACAGGGGGTCAAGCCCAGGACCTCACACATGCTAGGCAATAGCTCTAACACCGAGCTACATCCCAGCCCTACAACTTAATTTTATAAATGGCATTTCAACTAAGTTTTTGCATATGTCTATTAATTCTTCTTAGAATGAATTTGTAGAAATGGAATTGCTTAATCAGAATCTGTACGTACATTAGATACCTATTGTCAGTAGCCTTCCAGATATATGTTCCATACTCTGGCAAAAGCCAGTTATTGTTATCAAAATATATATTTGCAAGATTTTAAAGCAAAGCCACTAACTCATTGCTGTTTGAAATTTTAACTGATTTCAAATTCCAACTCACTCTCAAATGAAATGTATTTTTTTCTTAAAGGTAATTATTTCTTGATGAAGAATAAAAGAGCTAGAGAAAACCTTCCTCTTTTCTACTAGAAGGAGATAGAATCTCTTCAAAGGAAATGATTATTTCATATCAAGGATTAGTAATAATTCCCTGGTTGTAGAAATCACCGCATTGATGGGGCGTCCTGCTCTTGAGAGACAGATCTTTCTCCACATCTTTTTATTGTAATTAAATTCATTGTGATGGAATTTTACCTGTACATAATTCAGCACATTTACATTTAAAAAATTAATTTTGGGTTTGTAGAGCGATCCTATCCCATGAGTCTAATGACTGTGATAGTACGATTCGGGGTTATAATTAAGAATTGAATGGGTAGCCTTGGGCATATGCTAACCAAGAATAAGTAGATTTACTTTCATCATTTGGGTTTAATCCTGGAAGGAGAGAAGACTGTTAGGTAGCATGAAAGGATAGCATTCCATCCTATAAACAGTATTTATATTCTTCTAGAGGAACTGCTATTACCATGAATGAAAATGTTACTGTGGGCTGCAGTAGTCACCAATAAAAGTCCACCAAAGTGAACATGAACTGACCTCCCTGGCTCAATTTTGAACTCGGCTAAAAGGTTATCTCCATTTATTTTGGCAGCTTAAGTTGGAAAATCAGCCTGGGTATTGGGAATTCCAATGAAAAACTGTAGCCTGGAGGCATCTTGCTTATGTCTACTTATTTCAATGCTCCTGAAAATCTGCCTGTCTTCAGTTACAGTTACGACTGAGACTATGAGAGGTATTTGGCAAAGAGTGATGCTCTATTACTGTTTGTTTATGCCGTTAGTTTTCAATACGATGCTGATAGACATTACGTAAGATGGTTTCTGTTACCCCTACTCACCTATTGCAGTGACCTCCCACCCCGAGGACATTATTGTCAGATTAAATGTTCTAAAGAACCCTGAATTCACTAACTGTATATTGGTCACATCTCATCATAGCCGAACCCCAATAGCCGTCTCATGGAGATGCCCTGGCCTGCAGAACTACACAGTGATCGTGTATCTGCCACTCTGAGCCCACAGCTCTACACGGCTGTTGCCTACTTTTCCAGTTTTATCTTTCATAATTCGCCTACAGTGTTTTGTACCTTGAATAAAACTCTTGATTTCCCGCTCTTTTGTCTTTATTTTTATTTTTTTGTAAAGAAAAGCTGCTCTCTCAACGTTTCCTTCATGTGCATTTCCTTCATCTGGACAGGTTTTAGAGACACCTATGCATGATGCTCTCTGACTTTCCAACCAGAACACATACTCCTGTCTCTCATTTCCGGTTTAGATGACTTCTTTCCTCTGATTTTCTTTGTACTTACTCATACCGTCTTTGAGACATCCTTGATTCTGCCTTACAATAGATCATATACTTGACTTATTCTTTTTAGAGATTAAAAATTGGAATCAGAGCCGTTTTATTTTAATAATTTAATTCACTGAACTTGCTAGAATAGTGCCAGGCATGCATTCAGCCAACACATGCTCAGATGAAGATGTATTGATAAATTACTGGTATATAACTAATGTGATTTTGGGTGTTTAAGTAACAAATGCTTTTTTTTTTTTGGTACTGGATATTGAACTTGGGCCCTTGCGCTTGTGAGGCAGGTGGTGGAACCACAGAGCTAAATCCCTGGCCCACAAATGCTAAATTTTGAGTTCAGACATTGTTTAGTCTTTTAAAATGGCGATTTGAAAAACTTTTTGTGAAACTGTGATCTGAATTCAAGTTTATTAAAAAAAAGCTTTTTGGGGGGAAATTATCACTCTTTGCAGCAGCATGTAGGTCTGAGCTGGGACACAGCAAAGAACAGCGCAGGTGAATTTTTTATTCAGTTCAGTTTTTGTTTCTGTTGTCGTCAGGTCCCACCATCCCCACAGGACTTAAACCTCAGACAGTTTTTGCTCTTTTTTTAATGGTTAACTTGTCATCATACTCAATCTTTTTAGAAGCAGCTTCATTTCTGCCCCTCCCTTTAATATCACCTCGATGGCCTCCCTTCACACTCATTTTCATTTTCAGGGTCCTGGAAGCCCTCTCTGCGGCTTCATTCACAGGAATATTCTCAGAAACCCCCTACTCCGACGTCATTTGTGGCCTCCTCCTTGGGATGAAATCCAAATCCACCTTTGTGTCCAGTGCTCTTGCTAATCTGCTTCTTTCTATCTGAGGTTCCTGGCAACCTCTCTTGCCTTTTTCAGCAACACGTATGTTTTACTCAGCGTAGAGATGTCTTAGGAGTCCTTCAAATCCAACGTGGTTGTCTTTGTAAGCCATCCCCGGTTGAGCTACCCAGAGCAGACTTTTCCCTTCTACATTCAAATTCACTCTCTTTTACCTTCTCCTACTTCCTCGCCAGAAAATCTCTGATGATCAGGCCTTTCTTTCCGGCCCACTAATTAGTGGGTCTGCTTTGCCCTTTTGGGCCTTGCAGGCCGGGTATTACATACAACTGGCCTCCCCAGTGGACCGGGCCCTTGCACATGGCTGGTGCTTGGATAAATATCTGGCGATGTGAGACTAGAATCTGATTTGTGTTCCTTTTGTGTTGCTCTGACACTTAGCTCTGTACTTGGGATAGTCAGAGAACATCTGAGTGTGTGTAACTTTGGAAAACAAGTTCTACAAGGTATGGCTGAAAAATATGGTGTATGTTGAAATTAAAAATTATTACAGTGAAAGATGACATTGTTATTGATTCCCCTTTACATACTCCCTTTGCTTCCAACCCACTTATTCTGTCGTCACTCTTGCTCCTTTCTGAAGCAGCCTGGTAGGCTTTTTTCACGTCTTTGGTCGCGCTGCCTTCATGCTCTGAATCAATTCAAAACTCCTGGAAGCCTTTCACGGTCATTTTGACTTTGGGGAAGAGGCAAAAGTCACACGGTGCCGGATCTGGTGACTCAAGTGGACGAGGACCCACTGTCACGTTTTTACAGCCCTGTCTTCCTGTGGGATGGTGGTCACCATAGTTTGGATCTCATCATAGTTTTGATCGTACCTCATGAAGACAGGAAAGACAGATGTGTGTTCAAACCAAGGGGGAGGATTTTGAAGGGGAATTAACGGCAAGGTGTCTTTTATTGAAATATTTTTTTGAAAATGTAAATATCTCAGTTTTTAAGGTTAATATTTGCCTTATATCTGTAATAGCTCATGCTGCTTTTCAGAAGTTTAAAGACATTTCCATGATAACTGAGTATATGACAATGGGTTTTTTTCCTCTTTCCCTCAACTCAAAAAGCCCTTAGAAACCGTTAGATTCTCCTGTAGCACCTTTCATACCATTTTAGAACAAGCAATAAATAACAAAGAATTGTAGCATCTTCTTGTGGAAGGCCAGGGCCGATTTGTAGCAGAACCACGACACATACTTGCCCTTGACAGGAGCAGGGCATTGTACCTACTGCTCAGGATTTCCAGCTCTTGCCTCTTTGTGTTACTTTAAACCAGTTTCTTCAAACTTTCTTTAAAAAAATAAAGACCAAGCGCCCAAAGCAACTTGGGAACCCTCTGCCATTGTAGGGGTTGCCGATGGGATCTGTGTGTCTTCTCCTGACCTGGCCCTGCCCAGGTGACCGTGGGCAGTGACAGCCCCTTGGCGAGAGATACTGACCGTTCTCCGGGTGGAAAAGGGGAATCGGAACCAGAACCTTCTGAAGGCCACTTTGGAAACTCTGCTCTTTGTCTTAATCTCCTTTCCTTGTTATTTAAAATATATTTGTCTCAATATAGTTAAAATCTCATCACTGCAATTTTCCTCTTGCCTCATATTAAATGGTTTCTTGCGCCTGATTTGCCTCTACTGTTACTCAGATTCTGCATTTTATTTTGTTAACAACATTTAACAGCTAGTAAAGCTCTGCGAACATCAGAGGACACAACAAGGAGACATACGTCATGGAAAAGTCCATCTGTGAGTCTTAAAAAGTCACCATCCTAGTTACACGGAGAGAGAACTCTGTATTTTCTCCACAAGAGGGCAGGAAAGTCTGGGCTGTAAATACGATTTTTCAAAAGGTCTTGGGAAAAGTGCTTTACTTTTCATACGTACCTTACAAAACTGTATTAAAAATGTTTCCCCTCGACAGAAGTTCCAGGAGGAGACGATTTTTAAAGCACCTCTGGTTGTCCGGGCAGTTGGTCTTCAGTGCTGTTGGGGATAGCACGCTGCTGTCACTAGTGGCCCAGGCAGCCCGTCCTCAGTGACCCATGGTTTTAGCCCCTTCGCAAAGAGGGAGACAGGAAAAGAAAGACCAGACTAGATGTTTCTGGCAATGAGGAAACAATGCCTGTGTCAAAAGAAAAGAAAAATCACGTGCCAGACTCGAGACTGCTTCTGAGCACACTTACTCGTTGATACATCCTCCTGCTTATATTAATTTTTATTCCTCACTGCTTCCCACTGGCTCCCACCCGCACACTTCTTCCGCCCTTTTTTGTTCTACGAGATTTAAATTATAGGCCATGCTACAAAACCCATCTAAATCTGTGATATCAAAAATGAAATGCTTCTCTCTTCTGGAGATCACAACAGGGTTGGCTTAACACATTAGGTCTCACTGTGCTGGGGTAACGACGGGCTTTGCAAGCGAAGGAGGAGACGTTTGACAAATTCAGTTTATTTTCACAAAGATATAGTTGGTGAAATATTTGTAGGATTCTGATTTGGAGGGTGAACGCTCCTTGAATATCCAGTGTGAACTGAACCTTTCTTTTTCTTTTTCTTTTTTTTTAAAAAAAGAGCTAATAGGTTATGTGAATGATAAATCGTGTAAAACAATAAAGCATTAAAGGCCCAATTTTTGTTTAAGGCCGATTGCGATTCCCCCCCTGGAGTGCATGAAATTAAAATGTGCGCACAGAACCAAGTGATTGCTTCAGGATGCGTTTTTAGTGCTGGTTGTCTCTGTGAGGTGGTTAGCGCTGCTAACAGGAAGCGAGGTGGAACAATTCAGGTGGCGAAAGATTGATTCACAGAGGATGTTTATACAGAAGAATTATTGGCAGTTCCGGCCGTCATCAGTTGGGGTAGCAGGACCAGTTAGCAATAGGCACGGCAGGGGTCGGTGGGAAAGATGTCACCGAAGTAACCCGGGGACGCTCGGTGCAGGCACAGTGCAAGGATCCCCAGTGTGACGAGCTCACAAATCACCGTCGTGAGCAACGTGGCCACCGACATGTACTGTGCGGTGCAGTGTGGCCTCTAGAAGCCTAAAGTCAGTCGGCTCCCGTCCCTTTAAGCACCATGACGGTTTACAGCTTCAGGAAAGGTTTGCTTGAAAAATGTCCTTTTCTTTCACTCCTACTTAACCATACAGATGGCCATATGGGCTCGAAGAAAAGAGAGGAAAAAAAAAAATTAAACGATTGAACATGTAGTGGTCCTAAAAGTTAGTGTCAGTCCTATGGATGTCCTATGTCTTCCTTCGCCGCCTGCCTTCTTTTCAAAACACGGACAGAAGGAATGATCTGTTTTTCTTCAGAAGCAGCCTAGTGGGCATCGAGCGAGTGTGCACTTGTTGTGGGCAGATAGCTGACTGTGTATCGTATTTATATTTTCATTTCCTTTTGCATCATAACTCATTTTGCCTGAACCTGGCATGGTTAGTCTTGGTCGTGGCAATGCTGGCTCCCTCCGGGCAGGCAGCCCTTGGTGTAGGAAGAGGAGCGGCTTCCTGAGAATTCTGCAGCACAAACGTGGGCAGGAAGGTGCTAAGCGGACTTTCCTCAAGGGAAACAGGAGGAAAAAAAAATCTTATTATAAGATATACATTTAATATGTTTTTCATACTGGGAAAGAAAAGGTCAAGTCTGGGGATGTCTTTTGATTCACCGGCCAGAAGGATCAGGGTTGTTCTGTCTCCTCCTCCCCATGCACCCGTCTTTAGATTAGAAATGATTTATTTACAGAGAAAAGAACCGCACTTTGATATACTATACTAATGTTAAACATTTATGGGGTTTAAAAATATTTATGAATGTGTAAAAATTGTTAAAGTAAATGTGTTTTAGGTTACCCTG